TTCTATGCATAAATAAATCTTTTTTAAAAATCATAGAACATTTTTATGATCTTAGGTAAATGTTTCTGCAACATGATATTAGAAGCAAAATCCATAACTTTTAGGCTTCAACAGAATATTAAGCTTACATTCCTCAAAGAATATTTTTAGGTAAATGAAAAAGAAAGCCCTAGATTGGAGAAAATATTTGAATTACAAAAGTCTAATAAAAGACTTTTACCTAGAGTATATAAATAACTCCCAAAACTCAATAATGAAGAAACTAACAACTCAATAATATAAACACTTGGAAATACTTTATTACTATATAAAGATTAACAAAGATGATATTATAAGAACATAAGCACTTATAAAGATGCTTAATATCATGAATTATTAGGAGAATACAAGCTCACACAATGAATTACCACTGTATACTTACAATAATAGCTAAAATCGAAACACTGATGGCACTAAATATTGACAGGTATATAGATGCACTGAATTCTGAGGTGGCTTTGTAAAATGGTGCGACCACTTCTAAAAACAGTTGGACAATTTCTTAAAAAGTTAGTAACTCATCTGACACATTATTCCTGCCCTCTACTACTTCTGTTTACCTAAAAGCAACAAAAAGATCACATAAAGACTTGTAACAAATGTTTGATGAAGCATTATTTGGATTTGCCCAAACAGAAACTAACCCAATATTCATGATCAGGTGAATGGACAAAGGAAGTGGATATTGCAAAATTGGTGAATCACTAAAGAATTATACTGAATCAAGGAAAAGACACAAAATAAAGTACCTGCTAGCTCCATTTATGTAATACATTTCTATTATAGACAAATTTATCATGCCAAAGTAAATCAATGATATCTTAGGGATGAGGCAATACTGGGACAGTAGAGAAAGATATGGGGGGGGGACTACAGGAAACATGAGGAAACTATTGGGAATGATTATTTTAATGGCTTCTTGGGATTGATAAACATATGTCAAAGTGTATGAAATTGTATGAAATTGTGTTCTTCAAGTATACACATTTATTGAATGTTGACTTAGCCCACAAAGCTGATAAATTTGCTTGTGGTGAACTTGACAAATTTTATTTTTTTACTTCACAAAATTAATTTGTAGGAGATAAACAATGATTCTTTCAATGGAACCCAGTTATAGGACATTGTACATTTATTTACATTTGCAATTATGAAAACAGTAGTGATGATAAGGTCTCTGAAAAAAATTATTCTGAGAATAATATTTATTTTATAAAATTTTATTGTTTTTCATTAGTGAACAAGGAAATGTCAACTAGAGGGCAATTTGGTAAAGCACTTGATTTTGTCAGGACTATTAATGATGTCTTGGTTTATTGCATGCTGCTGTAGTACATGATGTTAAGCGGAATAAGTGAAAATATAATCTAAAATGATGCTAAGCTTAAATTAGTAACAAATTAATGAGCATAAATAAAGTAGACCTTGGGGGTACTTGGAAAGATTTATGAATAAACTTAACTTGGCAAACATAATTTCAAACAAATGGGGCGGAGTTGCGATCAACTGACTTCAAATCATCAGTGATTTCAACACAGAGACATAGTTTAATGAAAATAGGAACTCAACCTAGAAAAATTAAATTTATTTCTCCTAAGGATAACAGGCATAGAAGACACTATTACCAGAAAAGATTTAAGTCTCAATGGAGAAAGTTGAATGGAGAGATTTACATTTAACGAATGAGGAAATTCTGGGCAAGGGCCAAATTGCCTGAGTTTTATCTGTAGACAGTTTTAAAGACACTTTTTTTCCATCTGTCCTGTCAAGTGCTCCAAGTTTTTTTTTTTTTTTATGGTATGTGAAAGAAAAGAAGGAAAATGAATTGCTGGAAGCAGAGCATTTACAACTTTCCCACAATAATTTGTCAAGGCAACCCATTGCACAATCAATTACATGCCAGTACTAAACCTCTGTTGAGTTGGAGATAATAAATTATATAGCATGTAAAAAAAAGAATACAATCCTGTTTCTAAACTTTCTTCACTAAATTTTAATGTCATTCCTAAACTGAAATTATGCATTAAAATTTTTTATGACCAGTTATCAGGTACATAGAACATGTAAGACATCCCGATATGAATTTTATGATATTTAAGTTTAATCTTCACAAGAGTAACAAGGTCAGTATTGCTTATATGATTTCTTCTTACAGAGAAACAACTTTAGCAGAGAAATTAAGTAGTTTACTCTAATTTCACCATTTTGTTTACCTATTCCAGTAAGTCTCCTTTGAAAAGGTTAATCAAGAAGAAATATATACAAATGAATAAACAATGCTCTGAGTTAGGGGTGAAAAGCTAATATCATGTTTAAAACCTGAATTAGAAGATGTGTTAAATTCTAGCAGGAGACCAAAGGAAGCATGGCAGATTTCTTACCTTTGTTCTCTTGTTGGGCAACACCTTTCCTTTGGTCATCTGTTAATTAAGAGAAAGAGGGACAACTTGCCTAAGATATGTTTTCTGGATATTTACTGAAGGTGATATATAAGTGTTTGACGTGTATCACGTTATATAAGTGTTAAACGTGACTAAGAATAGTATCACTGCTCTTTTTATTGATAAGAAGGAAGTGTGCTTTTAAAAGATATACTTATCATTCTTACATATGAGAACTGAAAGCATGTGTCTTCACAAAAATGTATGCGCAAATGTTCATAGTGCAATTATTCATAATGGCCAAAAATAGAAATCAAAATGTCCATCAGTTGATGAATGGATAGAGAGAACTCCATATAATGGAGTAGTATTCATCAATGAAAAGTAATGAAGTGCTTGCTGATAGAAAGCCACATCATGGATGAAACTAGAAAACATTAGGCTAAATTAATGACATCAGTCAAATATAACTATATATTGTATGATTCCATGTATAAGAAATAATCAGAATAGGCAAATCTATAGACATTGAAAGCAAAAGCCTATCATTTGCAGGTAAAGGGAATGGAAGTGGTAGGGAATAGGGAATGACTGCTAAAGGCTTTCTTTTTTGGGTAGACAAAAATTATCTAAACTTAAAGATTATAATGATGGCTGGACACCACTGAAAACATAAGGACATTTTAAAGTGAGTGAATTTTGAATTATGCAAATTATAAAGTGAGTGAATTTTGAATTATGCAAATTATATCTTAAAGTTGTTTTGAAAAGAATCATATAAACAAGATATAGTTAGTCAACTAGGTAAAAAAAAAATCTAAAAATCAAGGAAATTACTTTTAAAAACTTAGAAAATGAAATAAGGCTATTTATGTCAAGTTGAAACTTTGTAAGAAAAAACCCACTATCTGTTAAACTCAGTTATTTGAATATATATTTCTAGGAGATATATCCTTAAGACAAAAAGTATAAAAGATACTTAATCAAATTGCTAGTTCCTAATTATCAGTATATATCAGGTGCTCATATAATTAATTACTATTACTTTACCCGTAAATCATTATGTTAATGTCTTTAAGAATTATTATGTCAGAGTAAGTGAAATGAGATAGAAACATTGATATCAAATAAATTAAGGGAAAATTTAACAATTTTAAATTGTTAACACCAGTATAAAATTTATGATGTGTTTTCCCTTTTAGAAAATAAATATATTTAGTTCCTAGCTCTGTCTACTGAAAAAAAAAAAAAAAGTAATGCCCACAAAAAAAAAAGTAATAACTAAACTCAGACTGAAATCTCTCAATACACTTTTTACTAAACGGAAAAGGCTCCATGAGAAAAGACTTTTTTGCACATCATGTCAAAAAAAAAAAAAAAGAAAGAAAAGTACTAGATCAGCTTGGAACATCTTATGCTGGAAAGCATGGAAGGAATCAAAGACCACTGCATTTATGTGAAGAGAACTCTGGAGGTAGCTTTTAAGAACTATTATAGACCCAAGATGGATATTTGTGCACAAAAGAGTTGTTCCAGTGGATTGAAACAGTACATTAAAATACATGAACTTGAAAAAAAAAAAACTCATTGGTTATCTTTCATGCAAATTATTATTCTAAAAGCTGGAAAATGAAATAAAAAATAAGTATTTATTTATTCTCTTGTTACACAACTGTATAACCAAATAGTTGATGAGCAAATTTTTTTCCTGATGGGGAATTTTGGCTAACAAGTTCAGAATGACAGCACCAAGAAATAATTAGCTTGCAACACCTAACAAAATAATACATTTGACTGCTAAAACAAGAGTAGAATTTTATACTGGGCAGAAGACTGTAGCACCTGAATCCACTGATAAATTTAAGACCAATAATTAGAGAAACAATTAGATATTTTGTACCTCCTGACATGATTTGATTAAAACTATATCATGCCAAGAAAATTGAATATAAGTTAGCATTGATTATCATTTTCCAGGAAAAACAGAGGATTGGGAAAAGAGCTAAACTATCTCCCAGAGAAACAAGTGTAGAGTAAGGAAAATTCTGAAGATAATGATCCAGTTCTTTTAGCAAATAAATGACAAAAATAAGGTAAAAAGATTTCTATTATTGATTGAGAGGTCTGAGAGACTTCTCAGTCACACACAACTTGTAGATCTTATTTAATTCTGATTAATAAAACTAGAGGAAATTAGAGTGGCCCAAATATGAACTGCTTGAAATGCCATGCAACCTGTACTGTGTTTGGGTATGACAGTGGGTTATGCTGGTATAACAAGCTGTCAATACTTTATGTGTGTTACATATATGATTATTTATTTGTTTCCCCCAAAGTTATTCAAAGAAAATTACCTAATTGGAAATGTACCTGAGTATGATAAATTTGTTTCTAAAGATGATCACAACTTTATCTTTATTCCACATAATCTTTGTAAGGAAACCTTGCCATTTACTGCTCAAGTAGTGAAATCTCTTTCTCAGCTGCTAGAATCTGGGCTCTCCCTGTGACTGACTTTGGCACACAAAATGTGGCGGAACTTGATGCTATACCTTAACAAAGTGTCTGCTTCCTCCTCAGAGCCCTGAATCACCATGTAAAGCGATCCAGCTATTCTACTGGGAAGAGCATAGAAAGAGAGACACCCTTCCAGCCCTAACTGTTCCAGTCATCCCAACAGAGTGAAGCCCTCTTGTATATTCAAACCCCAGCTATCTCAGCAGAACAATTGAACCCAGCTTCCAACTGACCAATCAGCTGAATGCAACCATGTCAATAACCCTGGTTGGCAACACGCGGAGAAGAAAATTACTTAGCTGAATTCTATCCGAATCCTTGAGCAAATGTAATGGTTGCTGCTAATTTCTGAGCAGTTTATTAGATAGCAATAGATAATGCAGTATACACAGAATAAGACAACCACAGGTAGTCTTGGCCTCTACAAGTCAGTAATCTATATTTACTCCTGATTTAAATCCTACTAAAATGGTAATAAACCAATGGATACAGTTTATGCTTTGAAACAATAAGAGTTTGTTTCACCATCCAACTAGCTGTAGATAAATGAGGAGTGAGGAAAATGCCAGAATGCTGTTCCGAAAGACACTCTAGAGCTGAGGTTCTTCCTTTGAGTAATCAGATTAAATTCAAGTCTTAATACAAGCCACATGGTGGAGAGGAAAGAAGACATGACTATAAAGCAGTCTTGTTTTTGATGTTGAAATGGTGGAATGTCAGTATTAAAAACATTTTCCTTTATTGTTTTTTTTTTAAGAGAAAAAAATGTGTATTGTTTACTAACATAGGCTACAGAGAAACTTCTACAGACAATTCTACAGATATGGAACATGCACTTTCTTTTTTAGTACTCCTGTCTTCATTATCCTGATGAGATCCTATGCATTCTTATATTCTTAACTGTGATGATAGTGGCCATCATCATTGTCATCATCGTCATCAACATCATCATCATTGTCATCCTCATCATCATCACCATGTTTTTCAAGGAGGACCTGAATCTGAGGCAGTGAACTCAAAGGGAAACAATGAGGGCACAAAGAGGGTGATATAGCAAAGGAGGAAAGGAGAAGGTACAGGAAGGAATGGAATATAAGAACTCTTGGTAAAGATTTAAAAGATAGGGGAGTAAGCATCATAAAAATATGATGGCATATGATTTGTAAAGTAATTTGTTGTATATGGAGAGCATTAATGTGTATAATGTAATTTAATCTTTTTAACGTGGTAATAATATTATATGTGTTATATGGAAGAGGAAATATGAATGGGGCTAAAATAACAACTCATAAATATTTTCTAGTAAAAATATTTACTGAAATGCACACTTTGTGCTAGAAATTTAATTGTTAACAAAACAGACTATCTGTGTTATAAGTTAGAGACTGGTGGAAAAAAATTCAACTAATCACAAAAAGAACTATAAACTATAAACTACAACAAATTCAAGGGAAACAGAAAAGGTTTTGATCTATTCAAATAATTCTGATTATAGATTTTTAGAAAAACAGATTTAGACAATACATAGGTACCTTGATTGACTATGTCTTAAATATTTCATGCCCAAGTCTGATTATATATTAAATAAACAAAAACATTTTAAAACCATTCTTTCTTTTTTAAAATTAAGTAAGTCTTCCAGGGAAGCAGTGAAAATTGTGTTTTGGTTTTATGCATAACCCTCTGTGCTTCTCCAATGGCACCATTTATTTCAATTAGTGTATCAGTACTCAGTTCTCTGTAAGTTTTAGTCCAGGTACTTGGGGAAAAGAAAAACCCATTCTAAATAGAAGAATTTAACTACCATTTACTTGCCAAGCTCTGAAAGTATCAGTCTGTGAACCAAGAGGTAATCAAAGTCTGTGTCTCTAAATTTTTTGGGGCTTTCCTCCTCCTTCTTCTTTTTTTTAGACTTCTGAGAATAAGTACTAGTTGTATGTACCTCCCAGTTGAGTAAATTGTGATGTTAAGATTTTTTTCCCACAAACTTTTGCTCTAGAAGAAAAGCATACAGTACAATTATGGAACATCTAGTAGTTATTTTCTCTCAGGAGACGAAACCTAAATGAGCACCATCTTCTCAAATAACCTCAGGTGGTTTCAGATAGTTAATTCAATAATCCTTCTGAGAACTCATGACTAAAGTTGATAAGAAGACACAGGAAATTATAAATACAGCATTGAATTGATGCATTCTGGGTTCCCCAAATTGAACAGGAACCAGAGTTGTGAATCTCATTTTTCTCAAAAAGACACTGTAGAAGGATTCTTGAGTGTGAGCTGGTTGCTGTTGATAACTTTCTTAGAAATGTGCATTTTTACTCTAAGTGATAATTATGGGTTCTGTTCCACATTTCATTTGTGAATTTTCACAAATATCTTTTTCAATCTTTTCATTGTTACCCAAGCCTTAGAGTTTGGGTATTTTGTAATTGATTTATATTGTTTTATTAAATATTCTTTATACAACACTGGACATGTATTTCAACATTTCTCTCTTTGCAATCAGTCCATCCTGCAGGAACTTGACTTTTTGTATTTTCCTGGTTGCCCTTAGTAAATTATTAGATGAGTAACATTTAATGCTTTCTTCTTTAACTCCACTGTGGTCAGAAAACATATTTATAAGATTTATTTTCAATATAGGTGAACATACCAGATACATATGTATTTCTGTAGTTGTTGAGGATACCATTTAAGGCTAGGTAGTTGAGTGTCATTTATATAATTTGTCTTAATATAATTTTGTCTGTATTTTCTATCAAATGCTGAGAGGGTTCATTCATATCTCTAGTTATGAAAATGAAATTGCTGTCTTCATATGTTCAAAACTCTTAATGGGTTACATGTATAATATAATATTTATGATTGTTTATTTGAATTGAACTTGTATCATTATGATTTGTTCACTTTTATCTCTACTTGTATTTTGTCTTGAAGTCTTATTTTATCTGTTATTAAGAGGCTCCTCAACATTTTTATGCTTCCTGTTTGCAGTATGTATTTTCTTTCAGTTTATTTTCAACCTAATTGTGTCTGTATAGGTAAAATTCATTCTTGTAGAGCAGGTATTTCAGCTTTTATTGTTAATACTTTATGATTATCTTGAATTTTTAATTGATGCATTAAGATAATTCCTTAGCATTTATTGTAATTGTTGATATGGTTTGATTTATATCTCACATTTACTCACTTGTTTTTTTTTGCTTTTCCCTCTCTTTTTTTGTTTGCGTTTTTTCCTTCTTTACTATTTTTGGATTACTTGTCTATTTTTAGAGATTCATTTTCATGTAACTGTTGACATATAAGCTGTATCTCTAAATACACAGCAAATATTTCACAGTATGTAAACATTTAATGAAATATTTGTTCTTATATAGACCCATTTATTGCTGCTCTCTACCATTTATACTGTAGTCATTATTACATCTCTTGAATTAAACCTTATGACATAATGATGTTTTTTAGTCATTTAATTAAGTTTTTTATATTTATAAATTTATGATTTGAAATTCTATTAATTTCTTAATTTCCATCTAGTTTTGAGAATGTCCTTGAGCATTTGTTGCCATATAGTTTCTATATTTTCTCATTGAAGAATATTTTCACTTGAAGTAGAATACAAGGTTGACAGGTTTTTCTTTCCATCACTTGAATAATTTTGTTACACTGTTTTCAGGTCTCTACTATTTCTAAGAAAGAGTGAGCATTCATTTATATAACTGTTTCCCTGTGCTTATCAGTCATTTTTCTCTGACTGCTTTCTTTATCTTCTGGCTTTCTTCTTTTGGTGATTATGCACACCCGCTACTTTGTCACACATAATTTCAAATGGCTGTAGTTTTCTTGCATCCCGTCTTTTTCTTCATGCTGGAGAGATGAAGTATTAACTACTGGCATTATATTTGCTCCACACAGTGCCTACTAAGGCTTGACCTCTGGCTAAAAAGGCTTTCTTTTCCTTGTTAATTTTTATTCATTGATTTGAGAATCAGCTTAATCATAATTTTTTTCTCAGAAACTTTTCTGATGTGACTGAATTTGTCCATGAATTCAGGATACATTTGACTACACTTAATAGGAAGTACTACTCCAGTAGTTGCAGCAAAACTAGGTTAGTTTTTCAAAGTGACAGTTCAAAGGTGAATGCCAGATAGCACAGTAGGGACATAGGTTTTTCTTTATTTACACGGCTTTTTATAAAAAGCCGTTATCCTTATAGTCTTCAGGTGAAAGTTTTATATCTGGGCATTATACTCATTTTCTAGGAAGGGAGAAGGGACAAGAACACTTAGTAGGATAAGTATGCCAGTATTCCTGATATTTTCTCTTTGTTAACAATGAAATCCCAAGTTCTATTAGTTGAATTAAAAATGATTATATGACATTCAACCATAGCTTCTGTTTTCATGCCTAGAAAATCTACTATAGGACTATAAAACAAAAACTGCAGCTTATTAACCCTCTTTTGGAGACAAGTTCTGATCTAGTTGTGGTCACAGTTCATGTTCACAATTTTGGATTTTTATTAGACATAATCATGAACCTGGGAAAGATTGATAAACCTTCATGGGTGATTTCTTAGAAGCTGAACTTCTGAAGAACAGAAAGAGTTGCCATGGGCATCTGTAAGGAGTAACAGATTCCAGGTAGTGTGAAAGAAGTCCGAAATTTATTAGAGAGCGAAAAACAGCTCCAACAGGGTGATGAGGTCTGAAGTGAGAAATCCAATGAGTACTTGTTCTCCATGGGCTTCTGGCTTCTGACGTGGTCAGACCCTGTTGAGTCAGTGTGTTATCGGTTTTCTGTTGTGGAAATACCAGGCTTATCTTACTCTCTGCATCAGATTCCCAGATTCATATCAGTAACAGTATATTTGATTATCTACAAAAAATGCTATTCCATAATATACTTAGCTAACTTATTATTAGGATCTTTTTCTAAGAATAACTTAGGTAAATATTAATAACTCTTGTTTATTTTATCACACGTTTAAAGTTCCACATTTATGTTACACAAAAAGTACATATAGTAAAAATCAAAATCTAAATACATACGATATTTAATACCTTCAATTGTTAAGTTCAAGCCAAATAAACTCAAAGCAAAAATTGAAATACAGACTAGGTTAACTAAATTAAGACACAGAATCACTTATATCTATGTTAAAAACACTATAACAAAATTTAGTGTTTTTTAGGATGGAACTATATGTCTTTCTTTGTGGTTACAGTTGCCTTAATCAGACTGTATTTCTTATCAAAGTAGCTTGAGGACATTTAACAAATCATCAAAATTTCTATGAATTCTAAGGAAATTAAAATTTATTTCCTGTTCATTAGTTGCTTCCCTTGAGGCATAAAATGGCATTTTGTAACCTTAAGAGAAGAATTTATACCTGTCTGTGGTAAACATAAGACTATATAACCTGGTTAATTGTATAAGATTTTTCTTATATAACCTGATATTGTGTAAGCATAGTAATGCTTAGCATGTGTTCAGTGTTGAAAAGCACTAAGCAAGCATAATTGCTCTAGCATTTTGTTCTCCCAGTTTTTTTAAAGATTTATTTTATTATGCATACAGAACTGGGTACAGACCAGAGATGCAGGGACAGTGAGAGGAGTCACCAGAGACAGAGTGGGGAGCAGAACAGGCAGATCAATGAAGTATACTGCTGAGGGGAGCAGTGGGCGGGTCAGGAGAGGTCTGCTATGACGTGGCTCCTCTGGGGCTGGGATCTGGGATTGAACTTGTACTGAATTGGCTGCAGTGAGCTTTCAGGACTACATCCTAACCCATTGTACCACCAGGGAGGGCCTGTTCTCCCAATTTTGCCATGTAGTAGTGACTACAATGAGTGAATACTAATAATGTAGTCCTTATCTTCTACATATATTTTCTTTCATGACTAAAAATTGACACAAATGCCTCTCAGCCATGTTCCAACAGTTGAAAATGTGTCTTTTTCCTATAAATGACACCAAGTAATTTTAATTATAAAAATAACCTTGAATCAAAAGTGAAATAAATTTTTAGTAAAATTCCTTGACCCCAGTTTCCAAGAAGATACTCTTCTGACTTTAGTTGCTAAATAAACATAAGTAAGAATTTAATTGTTGTTTGAAGGCATTGGAAATAAAACCTCC